GGGAACTTGTTGAAATTCCATGGCTGAATTTCTCTCCTCCCACACTCTCCCCTTTCACTCAGATGCTGGAGGGCATCTCTGGTTGGCTTAGTGTGCAAAGGAACATGCTTTCTGGTTTAAAAAGTTTGCATCATGGAAGAGACAACTGTCCCGTGAACCAGTACAGTGCTATTTCCAGCCTCAAAATCTGATCTGGTTCTCATGGCTGCTTTTTACAAGGAATGCCCACCTTTCCCCAGAAAAATTGAGTGCAAACTCTGTGTCCTTCTGTTGGCATGTGGTTGCTCTGCCTCTGCCGTGGCAATTCCCAATGCTTAGTCCTGGCTGAGGTGATTTCATCATGACACTGCCATGCCAATTCCACCCCATTACTCAGAGTCCTAATAGTCCATCGGCCCTGAGTGTTAGCACAAAGTTGGTCAGATGATGCAAAAGTGCCTTACAAATTCCTATGCAAAAGAGGAAGGTTACAAACAAAGGGGGTGGACACCCATGGTGTTTGCTGCGAAACTCATTTGTCTCTTGCAAAATAAGATGCTAAATAAGAACCACGAAGAGCAGTTTCTCAGCTTAGGTCACTTGGTCACACCATCAAAATGGAGATTTTAAAAACCCAAACAGGCTGCCTAGTGCTGCTGCTGGCACCCTGCCTACGGCAGTCAGACGCCCAGAAGTCACCACAGAAGCTCTCTCTGAAAGGTGCATGCAGCTTTGCATCCAAGCCCACGTTTTCCATCACACAGATAAGGAACTGCCCAGAATATGACAGAGCTGAATGATGCACTGAATGTTGAATTCTGTTGAATGAAACACTTGGATTTGCTGTCAGGGCACCAAGAGTGGCCAGTGCATCCCAGTGGGTGCAGGCAGGGCAGGCATCCAGTTCCGTTTAGTAGATGCTCCTTCATGAGACATCACCTTTGGGAGCTACACTCTCTTCTGCTTAGTGCCTGCCATGATACCCCATCATCTTCTCACCAAAACTGGTCATGTGACTGACACTGGTCACCCACAGTTTATTATTGTCCAGTAGAAGGAGGGTAAAGGTTTTGGCAAGGTCTTATCTGGAAGCACTGCAAATGCAGATGGTACACATGGGCTGTGACCACCGATGCTCCAGGAATGGCCTGGAAGGAACCTCAGGAATTATCTTGTCCATCTTTTTGCCCCAAAGCAGCATAAAAGCTGTGTAGTAGCCAGGACAAGGTAGGCTGAGGGTGAACGGCTGTTTTGGAGCAAGATTACGGGGAGGAAAGCAAGGTGCCTAGTGGCAAAGGAAGGAGCTCAGACCATCATCTCTACCCCAGTCCCCACAAATCCACCATCTCCTTTGATGTGGGAGCAGAATCAAGTTGTAGTTAAGAGACAGGCAACAGCTACCTTTGGAGGGCTGGACCCGCAAAACCAAAGGGAGATGTCCCGGGGGCCTCATTAACCATTTTAATGGTGATTTTGTGGTCCGTTTCGCAAGGAGCCACAAAAACTGCCCAGCCTGCGGGTAGGGGAGAGCCTCAGTGTGGCCAAGCCCTGCCAGCCCTGTTTTCCCAGGAGAGGGTCTTAAAAAGTGGTTTATGCTCTGGGAGAAAGAAGGCTTGGATGGCTGGGTTGTTACAGCCAGAATCATAACCAAAGGTTGGAAAAACCCCCTAGGCTCTCCCTATCTGCACAGATGGCTTAACAGGCCCCAATTTAGTAAGGTGCTTAAACAGAATTAATTTATCCTAATGCATCTGGGTACATGTAAATCTCAAAGTTGCATGGAAGCCACCACAGTTCCAGGCATATTTAGGGCCAAGGACTTCAGGGGCTTCCCTGGTGAATCTGGGTGTAAGCTGCTGCCTTAAAGCTTTGCTGAGTCCCATCAGCCTGAAAACAGCAGTTCCATCTCTTCCTTATAAAGAGGAAGATTAGTCCCTTTCTACAGCTCTTCAACCACTGACATGCAATCAACCAGGACAAAGCACAGAGACATGAAGAAGGTCTCTACAAAGAAGGCACTTGCGTCTGACTCGAGACTGTGCTGTGCCTGTGTGTGGCCGCTGAAATAAAAGCAATTGTAATCCTTCTCTTCAGAAGACCAAATCACATCAGAGTGCTTCCTTCTTTGAAGCTGATGTAGCCAGTGCTCAGGGCTTCCACCATGTGACTGCCAACTGGCTTTGTGAAAGCTCAGCAGCTGGAAACCGCAAGTGCTGTCCTGAACCGTCTCTCTCTGATGTGCAAGGCTGGGTACCCGGAAGAAGCCACTTCTTAAAGCTGCCAGGAGGAGCTGGAGGTTGAAGTGCAGGTTTGTTGCTTTTGATCTGCATGGAAACAGCCTGGCAGCATGTCATACCTTAGAAGGGATCTCAGGGCTTGCAGCTGGCGGAGGGGCACGGATGGTTGTCCCACCAATGGCATTTTTCTGGCTTTCCAACAAACCCAGGGGCCTGGGGGGGTCTACAGCCCTCAAATGGGGCCTGTATCACCCATATGGCACAAGGTATTCTGCAGTGGGTAGCCAACTATAAATATGGAGAAAAGCAGGGACCAAACCAGATACAGGTTTCCCACAGCTGGAAAAACCGGCAAGTCACTACCCTCGAGGATGAAGGGCTGTGTCTTACCATGAAAAGGAGCTGGAGTCTGTCTCTGTCCTCCTGATGGATGCGAGAGCTTGGAGCAACGGCTGCATCCCAGCACCTCTGGTCACCATCCCTGATGCCTTGTCCCTGCCCCACCGCAGCTGCATCAAGCCAGTGTCATGCAGAAAGCAGACCGCAGCCTGTTGTGCCGCTGACGGCCTGGATTCTCCCTGCTTTCAGCTTGCCCATGGTTATGCCCACCTAGAAAAGCTCATGAAATTTATGTGGTATGGACCTACCTAAAGGCTAACGATGTTTTAGCCCATCCATAAATGCCTTATTCCTAGGCAGTGCTCCAGGTTTGGCTTCAGACCACGCACCCGATTGCCCTCCACACTACTTGCACCACACTTCAGCACAAAATAAAATAAAATTCTGAAACGATTCTCCCTTTCACTTACTAGGAAGAGGTCCTGGTGCTTGGATCACCTTGGACAGAACAACATAAAGGACGCAGCACCCAAAAGCTTGCCTGCTTTCTCCCACCACGTCAGTCTCCCAGATGAAAGTACCTCTCATGGCAAGACGTGCATCCTGATAGAGTTGGACCAATGGAGATAAAAATGGAACTGCAGTATGATTATAATTTCATACAGTATTTATAGTTCTTTTCAACACACTATGAGACCTGTAAAAAAAGATCTTTACTTAGAAGAGACTCCACAAATATTCTAAATCATCGTAGTTCCTTTGCATAATTTTTAATTCAAGACAATGTATTACAAGTTTACAATAGCACTGACCGTGAATCCTCCCACAGCCAGTTAATTTTGACCCAGAAAAGATGCAAAGATGTCTTAGGGCAAGCCATGCAATCACTTGTGATTCTGCGATTAGATCCCTTTGTTAAGGCAAAAAAGGAACTTTATTTGTTTCTAAGCAAATTCAAAAATCTTTATAAGAATTTTAATTAAGGCGGTACGGTACCTTCTTATTAACAAACATTACGAGAATAATTTAATGTCAAATAGGTGTGTCACAGGAATACGAGGAAAAAAGTTTACTCCGGCTAACATTTCTCAACTTGTTTGTAACACTTTGCTTCACTTCTTTGTTTCATCTCCAGCTATCGTTTGCGTGAATTCACCGCGTGCACCAGTCACATCACACCCAGATACTAAACACAATTATCACCTTCCCTAGGCACATAATTTGGCAATAAATGGCTGTCTGCAGCGAAGCATTTCCCAGAAATGCCTTATCTTCAGTTCCATGTATTCTAAGGGGCACATGAAGCTCAACTCGAGCAGCGCCTCGACTTCACATGCATGAACTGCCCGATTTCCAGAGCATCTGCCCCGTGACCGAACTCGTCCTCAGCACCATCGTGCGCAGTTCATGCTCCATTGATAAGGAAACCGCTGACCCCTTCCCCCTCTGCTTGTCAACACGCGAGCCAGCAAACTCGGCTGCAACCGAATCACTCCCAAGAGCCGTAGCCATACCCACGAGAGGAAGAAATGAACGCTTACAAGGACGCTCCCGACAACGTCATGTTGTGCTTTGGCAGATATGCCTTCCTTCTCCCAACCGCCACCAGTCATTGCTCAAGAGCCGGCCGGAGCTGGCGTGAGACCCTGGAAAGGGGCGGCATTGCCGCGACATTTTTGCAGGAGATCCTGAAATGTAATTAAACACTGTGGTGAAACCAAACTGTAAACAAGCCATGAATAAAAACCCCTTGAATTATTTTGCTAAACTATAATTACACAATAAGGAAGCAGATTAATTAAGTAAAATATAAGTCCTGAAACTGAAGCTTGCAAGCAAAGCAGTTTATTTTAATTTCCACATTATTTCGTATGAGATAGAAGTGTTTGCTGTGGGTTTAAAATGTTGGAAGACATTCCTTGCTGCCAGGCAAGCCAAACCCAGTGGATAAATTAAATTTTTGCATCCCAGGCACCTCCTGAAATGTATATAAGGAGAAGAGCTCTGCCTCAGAGAAGCTAAAGGAGAGCTCCTTCTTTCACTCCCTGCTCCTTTCTTGCTCTTGCTTTGCCGTTACTGCTTCACTTCCCGTGTCCCCCAGCCACCATGAGTCGACAGTGCTACACCTCCAGCTCTCTCCTGGGAAGACGGGGCTTTTCCTCTGCGTCCGCCGTCTGTGGCCTCGGCAGAGGCAACAGCAGCTCGGCCTCCGTC